GCCTTAATTGTGCCAAGCTTGGCCGAAATTACTGCCCCCTCCCCTCCCCCGCAGAGTTGTGAGGCCTATAATATCTTTTCGGGAGCAGCTAGCTCAGATAAGAACTAGTTTGCTTTCTGAGCCATAGGTGGCTTTCACCTAACCTATCAGCCTCATGCAGAAAGTGGCGTCCCCTGCTCTGGTGAGAAAACAGATCGTTGATAAGCTTCCAAGATGTTAAGACTCAGAGTCTCAGCTTTCAAGCCAGGTTAAAAAAAAAACTGAAGATGTCTGATTAATCCACTTGTTCAAGGAGACCAGGCAAACATTTTTGCAAGCGGGTAGCCCACCAGCTACGCAGGTTCTCAACGATAAGAATTTTTTGAGGGCTGCTTTATCGAAGGTTTCGGGCCCCCTATGTAGGGATTCCAGAATGCAAAGGCCTGTGCCTTAAGAGATTCATGATCTGAAGGCAATGCTGGCAATGCTTCCAACATATCAAGGCTCAGGACTTGAGGTAAGCTACTTAGCTCCGCGCCGCTCCTCCTGTTGAATCTGATGTAAAATAACTACTACTACTACTACTAAGCTCCGCAACACTTCTCCGCTCGAACTTGTGAGATCTTCATAACATCCCTCTGAGCTCATGAATCCCTTCTTAAACACTTCTAGATGTCTTCTCAAACACGACCAATCTTTACCTGAGCCGATCCCTCCTATTGAAGTTAGAATTGAGCTACGGCCCGACATTTGTTGGGGGGGCCGCCACTAAAATGGTTCCCACGTTCGTTTGGGAGGGTGGGTGGGGGGTTGGGGGGTCATACTAACCACGCAACAACCCTTAGGACTTAGGAAACCATCGGCCTGGATCGAGGTCTTTTCCATTTTCCTGGCTCACATATCCTCAGCTTCCAAGTTTGCTCAGGCTTGATACAAGGGATGCGAGCCTTTCTTAGCCCTACGATCCTGACAACAACGATCCCGCCATAATCGCAGGGGAATACCGCGGGAGCATCCTGTGGCATTGCCAAGCGGCTCATGTCCAGTCCCAATTTCCCCTCCTCCTGGTTGATGTTTACAACCTCCGAAACATGAAGGCAAAGCAGCTTTAAGACAACCGTGCAGCGGAAATTGCTCTGCGCACACATTATGGCATTACTTCGGCAAGCCGCCTTGACCCAAACTTTCTCACCGACGTCCAAGTGCTCAGAGACGTCCTTGACGCGGCCAGCTGCAATGCACGAGATGTGCACCAGCCCGTCCTGTGATTCATCCGGCTTCGGGTTTCTGATTGGGCACCTCACAAACACGACTCTACCCAACCCGAACCTGTCATGATGCTTCTTGTGGGCAAAGAAATGTGCAGACGCAAGGTGGGGACAGGATGTTGCTTTCAAGACCCTGCTAGAAAGCCCAAGACATTGAACATCAGTGACAGGCTTGCTGACCAGCTGCCTTGAATGCTGCGCCTGCCAGGAAGCAGAACAGACATTCGCTTAAAGGCCAACAAGGGCGACGAAGCTACCCAACATGGTACCTTCCCAAAAATAGAGACAGGGGTCCACCCAAAAGAGGATCACCTGATGATTGGCCAAAACCAACAAGTGGCCTCGCCTCCCTACGTACTCCCTCTATTCTCCTTTGCCAATCTCTAAGCTGGTGCACGGCTGGCGAGAAGAACACAAAGCCTTGACCAATTCGGACGAAGGCCCCGAACGGGCGAATGGAGACCACCTTGGATTGTCAAGGTCTAAACACTGTCTAGTCTCTTGTACTTGGCGAATGAGGGACTGAGCGGGTGGATTACTGTACCATCCTTGTATGGCCTGGATCATAGGTGACTGCTACTGGAAGCAATACACTAAACTTGTGCTTGCCAGCCATTCCTGGGAAATAGCCTCTCTTTTTCTCCCTGCATCTGGTGGGGACTGAGCACGATGGGGATCCGCCTACTCATTTCCCCCTTAAGCACGAGGTTGTCTCATCTCTTGGAACCTTCAAGCCGCCAGCTTTCATTCATTCTTCATCAGACAAAATGGTCCCCGCAAATGTGCTCATGCTCCCACTACCGCGGCCGTGGAAGGCATGGTTTGCTCCCCTGGCTCGATTTTGTCATGAGAAACTGTTGTGACCGATGCTATATAAGGGGGTGTGGGACTGCTGGCTTGCGTGGCGTACCTGCATTTGATCAAGACTGAGGCGCAAGATTTCGTTACCATCGCCATCCATCACCAACACCGCTGCCACTTCTGCCGAAGCTGAAATACTACTTTACCTTCTCTTCTTGTTTTTTGCTACTGCTGCTACGGCGGCAGCAACGATGATGACCACAACCACTCCTGCTTGCGGGAATAGCTATGTCAAGTTGTCCGGCCAGGCTGTCCCAGGAGTTGGCATAACTGTCCCCATCTTCGGATCCTGGGAGGGGGCCTCTACCAGTCCTTTACAATTCGGATCAAGACATCTAGCGTGATGGGAGACAACATGACATGTGAACGATTCCCTCATCTTGCTGCTAAGTGGCCTTTCCTTGGTGCACGCTATACATCTCTGGCAGTACGCCCCCTTCTGCACCCTTTTCTTCGACATCAATAGGATGCGCCATGCTCGAGGGGAGTCGTATGTGCTCTGATTCCAGAAGTAACGAAACCGGTGCTCCCGGCCCTGCCCCCAGCTCACATGAACCCCCGCAAAAAATCCTTATAAAGAATACTTCCCTTTCAAAGAGGTAGATGCGTCTGCCTCTAAACGGTTCCATGTTAGATTTGGGGGGAGGTGAGCGGCTCCAAGACAAAGTACTGCTGTTGTGAAGCTCGTGGAACACAAAACAAGGCCTCAAAGGGATTACATAGGAGGTATATGGTAGTTTCCCAAAATAGGGGTACACCTATATAGACCCCAGAATACTATAATCCTGAATATGGGTACCCCCGCGTAAGGTACCTCTAATCTGGGGAAAACCTCAATTAGAGATCTACAGGGATTCCTTAACCTTGAGGGTTGAGGGTTTGGGCTTCCAGATTGATACAGGCTTAGGGTTTTAGGTGGCTGCGATTGACTTCAGACCTCCACGTAGAGCTTGAGCTTGTGCGGCAGCATCAGGGGTTCAGTTGCTGATAATGTAGACCCGTGATTAATAAACCCCCTTCTTTTCAGGGCCTTCATATTCGGATCCCTAAAAGAACCCCGAAAAAGGGGAGGGGGTTTATAAATCAGGGGTCTACATTAAGAATAGCACAAGTTCACCAACCCACGTGGCCATAAATGCCTAAATAATAACATCCAAAAGTTGAGGCAAGGAACAGGGAAACATTATGCGTCTTTTGACGTTTGCATGCTTTAGGTGTTGGGTGGCAAGATGCTGATGGTTCAATTTGCTGTTCTCGCAACAGAGGGCAAGCTTTCCCCCAAACCTCCTTATACTAGACATTCTGACTATAGGATAAGAGAATATACTGTACTAGCCTAGAATATACTATACTATCCTATAATTTACTATAGAAAACTATAGTACAAAACTCTCCTAAGATTTACTGTAGTTTACTATAGTTCACTATAATATGCAAGAAATGTTTAGTAGTGATTGCTCCCGACCTCGGGCTTGGAGTCGGAGCAGTCATGGTCTCCTGCAAGTTGAGGTTTCTCAAAATAGTGTGCCCTTGGGGACCCCTTGTATATATGTGAGGATCTTAAAGGGATTCTTGGGGCCCTTATTGGGATTACAGCAAAGATTATGTTGAGAAACTTGCAAGTTGTGATGCCCAGCTAGGCAGCAGCCAGAAGACGGATTTATAAGGTGTTGCTATTCTGTTGCTACAGAGCAAAAAAGCAAGCCTAGGGCTCGTTCCTTGCAATCTCTGAGCCAGGGGCATTGGCTCCAAATTCCCCATGGCCTTTAGGTCCTGATAGCGCTCCACTTGCCTTTGAGCCCCTCGGATGGCGCTTTTTTGCCCATGCAATTGCTGTTAAAAAACTTAAATTAAGTTACCATAATGGGTATATATATATAGTAAATAATAGGGTTTCCCCAATATAGTAACTTAACTTAAGGTTCTCAACAGCGCAGAAATCCAAGGTGCTAGTTCTGGGTCTTCGCGACAGCGTCACCCGAAGCTCGACACTCGAACCCCCCTAAAGTGGGTTGCTGTTAAGGAGCTTAAATTAAGGGATTATCCCCCTATAATGGAGAATCAAATGGAAAAGAAAATGGAAAATGAAATGGAAACTGGGGGAATATAGGGATTCAAGGAACTTAAATCTAGTTACTATATTGGGGAAACCCTATTATTTACTATGTATATACCCATTATGGTAACTTAATTTAAGTTCTTTAACAGCAACCCAGTAAACCCGACATCCTAACTTGTATGAGTCCTCAAA